ACCACCCAACAAGAGTTACGTCAGCCGACGGTTCAGCTCGGGAAGCTAACCCTACCTTTTACGGAAGATATCGCGCACTTTCAATGTTTTTGGCGTGCATTCGAAGTTGCGATTCAGGAAGACAATACCATAAGTACAACGTACAAGTTCCTCTGCTCCCAAAGTCTTCTCAAAGATGTGGCCAGTTTGTATTGCAAGAACTGGATCCCTATAAGTGCAACTATTGCGAACTAGTGCGAGCACTCAAAGAGAGATGTGACCAACCGCATATAATACGCGCAATCCTTCATAGGCAATTGCAGCAGTTACCCACAGCTGGCAATTCAGGGACGGATCTACGCAATACATGGTTTCGTGTAATGGGTATCTCTCGAGGGTTACGCAGTTTCGAAGACTTCCGCACAGTACTACCAATACTCGACTTAATCAATAGTAAATTTCCCCCGTACATCCAGCAAAAGCCCCAGACATGGAGTTTCAATCCGGTGGAAACTTTGACTTATATCGAATGATGCACCATTTAGATCATATTATCGCTTCGCAGGAGACGTATGAGGATACTCCTATGCTCAAATATAGGTATGAAAAAAGGACATTCTAGTCGCACGTGACGGTATTTAGGGCGCAAACACTGCAGAGGAGACCATCATGAGCTTCTGTGCAGGAATCATCAGCGCTATGAAAGCCAGCGACGCAGTCCACGTCCGTACGACACACATAGGTCACGCAGTTGCGACTGCGAACGCAACAAACAATTTTGTCGCTGTCACCTGTCACCCAGGAACACATATCCTTCTAGAAGTCCTTCACAAGAGCGATAGAGACGCAGAAACTATACCGGCAATGAGCATTCACGTTCACCATCGTGAGATGAACGTCATCGCGACTATAGTCTAAGGTCATATTCTCCAGCCAAGTGCTATTCTCGATCGCCACATCGTGTTTCCTTTCGTACCCACTCAGTTTGGCGCTCGAGATCGCCACACCCCATTACCTTTCAACATCAGGCGCAAGATTCAGATGCAGAATTAGAACAACTCAATCACTATTATCGAACACACTGCGTTAAACGCGCAGCAACAAAAGCGAACCTAATGCTGATCAATGTCAAAGCGTATAACTGCGAGCACTCTGAACACAGAGAGGTTCTTTTAATTCTAGACCCATTGTCAGGAGCTCAGAATAGTCCATAACTACAGCGAGTCGTCTGGGACTGCCCATTTATGACAAAAAACTTTTGCAACGTTGCTTTGAGACTACAGAATTGAAAGGTGTAAAAGACGTTGACTTATACAAAATCGAGTACTTCAATTACATCTTATAGCAAGGATG